GGCTCTCTTCAGCTGTCCTTACTGTGCACCCTCCGACAGATCTACTTCACAGAGAGCAGACAGAAGACTGATACCTTTAACAGACTTGTGGTAGGTCAATGGTAAGTTCTCAACCACGTAACAAATAAAAGAAGTCAATGACTCCGCAGTGTCTAGCTACCTTAATGCGTACCAGAGGTGACCAGCTATGTAGCTATAAACCGTTAGTAACCTAATGCATATCTTTATGGCTGAAGATGCATATATATGGGAAATCCTGCTGCAGCAGAGGCTTAAAACAAGGATGGAAAATAGGAGAGATTCCTTCTTTATAAAAATAAAAAAACCCTAAACACCAAAAAAAAACCCAAAAGGAAAAGGATGACTAAAAGATGTTTCCATTGTTAGAAAGTTATTAACATTCACGGATTTTAAACTGAAAGATTTAGAACTTCACAAAGCAATTAATCTCAAAACTGCCTCTTCGAATTAAAGTACATGGAAGGATGCTAGTTTATTTTATACGGTTAACACACTGAAATAATTCTCAATTAATACAGTGCGTCATTGTTACAAAATATGTGTTTATTGGAGTCTCAGCCAAATATAGCATCAAAAACATACAGCACAGGGTTTAAATATGACTATATGCCACCACTGTGATCCTCTGCTCCCTGAGGCTTTTGGGTACAAGGTCAGCAGCTGATAAAGAAGCAGTCTGGAGATGCTTAATTTACAACTACGGAAGCAGCTCGAAGAATAGGGTGATGGCACCGAAGGACGCTGGCTGTAGCAGAGTATGCCTGACCTTGATACTCCTTGTGAAAGACAGAACGGGGAAGCGAGAGACCGAATCATCGTGCAGGGCTTTTGTTAGACTAAACGGCGAGGGCAGCAAGCACTTCTAATTTTAAAATCACATTGGAGGACTAATATTTAATAATGCAGCCTGGCTGTGCTCGACACTAGTCCTGGCAAATGCAGGCTGAGAGTCAGCCCGCTGTAAGAGCACTGCAGACTTTTGCAACGGTGCTTTTTTATTAGTGGTGTAGAGATGTCAATTTGTTTTGACATAATTAAACCAAGGCACTGAAGTTGTAGTTAAGTACCCAAACCAATTTCCAAGTGTATCCCTTGGGCACCAATAGATGGATATTGCAAGGATGTTATTACAGAAGGGTCACTCAAAGTCAAGATGATCTGGGCTTTTTTTCTTTTGCTGCAAGATTTGGCAGTGCACAGCAGCCAGCTAACATGGTCCTGTGTGTCCGTGTTACCAACAAAAGCAGGACTGCAGGGTCAGCCTCACGCCTGTTGCAGCGTGAGTTTTCTCCTCCTGCATGGAAGGAGTTTGTTTCTGCTGACAAGAATGCAGGGAGGCCAGGGAGGCACGGCCGAGGCTGGGCATACGCTGGTTGACACGAGACTCTAGCAAAGAAATTACTGCACTGTCTGGTAGACAAAGTTCCTATTCTAGAGAGATTTAAGAATCTGCAAGAATTCCTGTTTTAGCAGTATCAGCCAGGAAGACATCTGTTAACCATGACATGATGTTTCCCTCCTCCCGCCCACCCCCCAGCGTGAAATTTTTCTACCTCTTACTGTTTATATTGCAGCAGAGATTGTAGACTCTCCTACAAAGACAACACAAAGTGAAGTAATTTCTCCAGGGCAGACCAGAATTTAAATACGACTAATACAATTAATAGAAGCCGTAGAGTTTGTGTTGGGAAAGTATTGAAGGTGCTTTTTCAGAATCGTCCCTTGACAGGCTCTTTGTGGGTATTACTTTTAGAAATGCGACAGGGAAGCGTATACCCTTTCAAGCCAGGAACTTCGCTGCAACAAAAAGACCAAACTGAAAGCATTTCTCCTTCCCCACAGCTATCTTCAAGGAGGAAGCTCAGCTACCTCTTGAAAACAGCTGAGGACTTGCAGTTAAAAATCCTCTGCAAGTCAGGACTAATTCAGCTCAGTAAAATTACAAGAGTATAAAGTCAATGCCAGTGACGACAAACTCAGGCTCCACAAAAATGGAAGGAACTGCATGTCGAGTGCTAACTCCATGTATTTCAGGGTAAAATCCAGGCCGGACCACACATTTTGTCCGTCTTACGCCTCGGGATAAAGCCTGCAGTGTTTACCGGTGGAGCATTCACACAGACCTCAACAGTGGAGAAATCCTGGCCTGCAGAGCACGAGCCAGGCTCCCAGGAATAATATCAGCGCATGTAGCTCTAGCTCTATCCCGCAGCCAGCGCTGCAGCCCAGCACCCAGCCTCGCTCATCCACACCGCCATGTGTTCACACTCCTCTCGCACACCTTCCTCCCATTAACTGCTCTGACATCCATATGGAGGCAAGGGGTGGGGGGGAATATCCACAACCTTGCAGCTGCCAAGCATTTATGCTAAATGCTGACCAAGTAACAAAACTTTAATTACAAGCTGCAGCTCTCCACACACAACACAATGTTCCGCGCTGACATCAGAGCTGCTCTCAGCTGCTCCGGCACTTGCGAGAGGCAGTAATTACAGCTATATTCCGCTTAGGACCAGAGACTGGTTTCAATCTGTGTACAGTAGCTCTACAGCTCTGTGGTCATTTGGCAGAGGTCTGTCACCACCGCGACGGCTGTGCACGGTCAGGGAAAAAACCACAGGTTTCTTGCTGGCCTCAGATTGCAATTTGGTTTAATTGCAGCATATGCTGATTTTTATATTTGGGGAAGAAAATTATTTGAAATTAGAGCCTATTATGCTCCTGTTCACACTGATGTGAACTGCAGGGAGGGGGAACGCCAGCTGAGTCAGGAAAGTCTAATACAGATGCAAGTAAGTTCTCCTACATAGCCAATATGGCCTATTATTCACCAGCTCGATGCACAAGCCCTCCTTACCCGCAGCCCGAGGTGCAAAACCCTATTTAACCTGCAAGCTCTCAGGACGCTCCAGCACTACCTTTTCTCCTCTCGGCTGAATGAAGCACCATCCCCCCCGTGAAATCTCTCAGACGAGCACTGAAGAACGACCACCCGCTCTTCAGTTTCTTGGAAAGCTGTGCAGCTCCTGCATGGCATCACAGCTATGTTGCTTCGATGGGGGGGCGGGTGACATCCTTGAACAAGGTACGTGCCTGTGATTCTCACCAAAAGAAACACAGCACTTAATGTCTTTCAGCCCTTAGATCAGTGCCTGCCTTCAGAGAGGGAGATGGGAGTGCTGCAGACCCTCAGGCAGTGCTGAAGTGAGGGCTGAAATGCAAATTCAGGCAAAAAACTCCAAAATGTCAAATAAGACATTTTTCCAGACACAGCAGCAATTAACCCCTAGAGAAAATGAAAAGGCAGGGAGACTCCTGTCAATGCAGATATACTCTAGACAATGGCATTGATTTTAACAATTGCCCTTGAAGTCCAAGTTTCACTTTTAAAGTATCTAGCCATACCAGTGGAAATCCCCAGTCAGCTCCTTTTTGCAATAGAAGTACAAATACGGACCTCAAAATGCTGGAGGTAACCAGCATATGGAAAAAAACGGCTTCAAAGAGACCTCCCCTCAGACGGAGACCTCCCCTGCAGGACGCTATCCTGGCTGCCGTGTTTTGACTCAGCCAACCATGTCCATCTCAACACCAAGTCGAAAAGAGATCAAAGATCTCAGATGATCCTGGAGGACTCAGATTGCCTGGCATGCATTTGCAGCCTGAGGAAGGTTAGAAACCCAACCATGACAGCTAAAGCTATGTTCACTTTGGATGCCAGTTAACAATGCCTTTCTCTTTGAGGGAAGACAGCTCCCTCTCCATGACAATAACCATATCAAAACCTAACAAAACATTTTCCCACCCAGATGTAGCTGCCATAAAAGGTTGACACTCTGTGGGTTGGCAGCCAAAAAATAACTTGCCAACCCTAAAAGTAAAACTGGCTGAAAGTAAGCAGAGGACATACTGGACTTCCATTCGAAAACTCAGCACAAACATAGCCTCAAGAGCTCAATTAAGCCTCTCTGTGCAACAGGCAGAACTCTCCTGCCAGCAAGGAGATAAGCTTCAATCTACATGGAACACCTGAAATCCATTTATTTTGAAGAAGGAGCACCCAAGAGTCCTACTATCAAATAAAGACCAGAGTGGAGGGCAGAAGAGAACCTACAAAGACTGTATTTTTACATTCATTAGCAGTTTCTTAAATAATATCTTCTGTTCCAAGTTAAGTGAGGACATGGGTAACACTTTAGACTTCAGTGTTTCAAATCCTATCCTATTTGTACATAGATAAGAGTACTACGTCACCACTTTGGGAAGAAAAATAAAAGAAGCTTTTCCCTGCTGCCTACTACTACTTTGGATGTACGATTCAGACAGATACATGCTCACACGCATATGATGGCACTGCACCAGACTTGGTGCAACCAAAAAAAGTCTCCCAGCACAGAAAACATTGAGTTTGAGCACAGATCAAGGAACAGTTATGTGTCTGTATTGTTTACGGGTTGGGACACAGTGAGAAAAATACAGGCTCTGCTCATAAGTGCTGCAATTAAAGGAAGGACTATCCCATGGTGAAATAAATACCTGGGAAACAAAGGCTCTACTAGACACCAAAGTGCTGTTCCGAGGAGTGAACGATAAGCATCAAAACACAATGCAGCTTCATGACTTCAGAAAAACCCTAATGGGCATCCTCCTATTTTGTAATAGATGCCAATCAGAGGAAGTATAAATTTTCCTCTGAATGCGAGAGAATGAACACATTGTTTGAACAAGCCTTTCATCTAAAGCATTTATGAAATACAGCAGTAATAAAAGCATTTACTTTTGTAACACCTCCACGAGTTTGCTTTTACATGTCCTGGTAAGTAACTGTCATTTAGAACAAAGCATTCCAAACAGCTGTTATTAGTAGATTAAAAATAATAATAATGATCTTCTTAAAATTTGGCCAAATGTAACATCAACCTTCCAAATATTGTTACCAAAATTTATCTGTGCCACACCTAATTTTGCATATCACTTACCATATATGAAGGAAATATTAAAACCCGCTTATGTTTGCCACACGGCCATTGGGGATCGTCTAAAAGATTTGGGTCATATTCAACAAAGTCTCCCAGGTCGCTACCTATAAAACAACGGTAAATATAAGAAAGGAATTCATTACATCAAGAAATCTTTGGACTTAACAGAAGTGGCAAATGAGTTCACAGAAAATGCACAAGATGATCTTCATGCAAGATTTTTGAAAGAGCGGAAATATTTCTCCAAATCTTGAAAACTCTAAGTATTTCAATACTAATACAATCTGCAAAGATATAGAGGACCTACAGCTTATGAATTACCTGGTAAATGTGAATTTAGGGCTTAGAGAAATACAAAATTACATAAAGCTCGACAATGACTTTGATTCCCAGCAACAAGTTTTCATCTGCTTATGCAGATGTTATGATTTGTTTCATTTAACATGCCAAAATACCTTAAGCATATAGTGCTTTGGCTTATGTTTTGTGCCTGGTTTTGTAAACACAGCCCTTTCCAGCCTAATAAAGGTCACAAGTATGATTTACACCTTCAGCTTATGACTACCGTGTTGCCACTGTAAATTTTCCACAGCAAAGGAAGGTAACGACGAGCCTGATGCAGGAGGAACAAACAATGTTGCTGACAGGAGGAGGCACACTGAGTGCCATCCGGGGCTGTCAATACAACCAGCAGTCTTGCTTACTTAACTTTCCATCATCAGTAATCCAGCTTTGCTAAACAAACAGGGAATGAGCTGTGTTTCACCCATGACACAAGACTATATTTTGCTTAATTTAAGCAAAAAAGGGAGCTAAAACATAACATACGTCCATCCTTCACAGTAACTGCCTATCATCAGGTTACCCAAGGATATTAAAACAAGCTTCTTGAGAGGTTACCTGCATCAATGCTCCCCTGGGTGCTGTTAGCTCTTGCCAAAGAAAGGCTACGATGGCTTGCATTGCGAAATTGGGAGAAGGATGAGGTGGAGTCTATCGTGTTTCTCCGAGTTCCCAGAGCATTGGTGGGAAATAGGAACTGTGTATAAGAAACCGTCTAAAAAGAAAGAACGGACAGTTATTCTCAGCCCAGCTCGAGCGCAGCGGGATGCCTTTGGTGCATCCCAATTGGAAGCAAGGGAAGCCAAATTAGTGGAGGATTTTCTGGATTTAATAGTTAGGCACAGATGAATAAACACCAGTCACCTATGCTTGCTTCAGTGCAGTCAGTTTATCCATGCAAAAAAAAGCTTTTGCAAGGGCATTAATTCTTCAACAAAACAAAACCACAAACACACACACACAAGCTCTAATACACTGGATTTACAAAATCCTACTCAAGGGTCAGATTTAAAAATATGTCAGTTTGATTGGGGTTTTTTCAGTGGGCCTTCTCTGTAGCAGATTTCAGCTGCTGCTGAAACAGCATCATCTATACGGGTCCCTCAGCACAGAGCTGCCAGAGGCAAATCACTTGGACGCTCTTAAACTTAAAACACTTTCTCCGGTATTTTTCTCCTTTAGGATTTTGTCTGGCAGAGTCTTATTGGTGTCGTAAGTGAGCTCCGGTTTATAGCAAAGGTTGCGGGAGATCACTTACTACCTCCCAACATGGACTAAGTGTGAATGAATAACTTGCAACAAAAATATTTTTAGAGCATACTGATCCTCTGCTTGTACCCTTGGCTAGGAATACGCTATGCCTTGCCTCTTGTAAGTTTACTTTCCAAAAATAACATTATATTGAAGAAAAAAAAATGAGTCTCAGACTCTAGACTAGTTTACGAGGAGGTCAGAACAGGTATCAAATAAAACGTGAGCTTTCATTTATTTATAAGCAGACAGATTGTCCTCAGGAATTTACAGTCTGTGGTCTGGCCTGACACCTGGTTAGGTGAGCACACCATGTGTAGCAGCATTGACCTAGGGCCTTTAAATCCATGTATGACAGCAGATTGGGTAAACTGAACTGTAAAAAGTAAATCAAGCTTTCAGTAAAACATGTTTTCATTTATGATTAAACTTGTCTCTCCTCTACATATTTGTTTAAAACGGATCACTTGCCCTAAAGATTCATAATTGCTTATTCTATTCAAGTGAATGCACTCTTGGATTTTGAAATACTCATCACATTTGTACTACTGTCTTCCTGCTCTTTGGAAAAATACACTGTTAAGCAAAATTTATTTTATTAAATAAAATTGAGAGCAAACAGAATTAAAGCTTACAACTCTCACCAGAAATTATTTTCAAGCCCCTGACAATATACTGTGCAGTGGTATCTCCTGTTAGAGCCAGGGGAAAGCTGCACGATTCAGTAATGCTTTAGACTCAGATGTTGCCAGAGGCAAATTTCAAGGAGACAGAGTTGTTTGCACTGACAGCTTGGGCAGTCCTTCTGAATGTCTGCTAAGCTTATTTACAGCTTGCACATACTGTCCTTTAACTACTGTGTTACACTGCATGTTACAATTTATGTTTATATTTATTAGTTAAGCCATTTTTTCCCTTATTACATAAAATCTAAGGGAGTAGGAACTGCACCATCCCCACCTTCCCGTCTGCTCCGAGCTCCACACCTTCCAGACCAATTATCTCTTTCAGACACACTCCAGTAGAATGGCACTGGCGTCCACCATCCAGCTTCATATCCCTGGGAAACCAGAGCAGAAACAGCTCTTAATACACACGCCTTGCTCACCTTCCACCACCCCAATGCTGAAATAAGGTAGCAGCATTAATCCAGACATGCCAACTCAAAGCACAGACCAGAAAACTTTTCCTACGGGCAGCCCTTGTGTTGTCTAAAATACATTATAGAGAAAACCCCCATCTGGTTCCAGGTTGCACCTCATACTCCACCTATGGTGCAGAGCAAGGTTCCCCATCACCTCTGACAGAACCTGGCACTGGGAAGGAACTGGAAGTCATATACATTTCAGGTGAGATCCGACAATCTAGCTTGAACACTTGACTGCAACGTATCCAGCAGACACTCCCAGAGTACATACCCACGTCCCCCTACGCCTTCGGACAGAGGTAATGCCCATGAAAGCCTCTGGGAGGGATTCCTGCTCCCCTCCTTCCTGCTGGAGGCTGGCAGGAGAAGCCCAGCTCTCCATCGCCTCAGAATGGAAACTTGGGGATCTATTTTATAAGGACTGACCCACTCAGCATCTTACACTTGGAGGTAAATGAGATGCCTGAGACAACCAGGCTGTATCCCACGCGTTAGCCTCGTGATCAAAACGTGAGTGAAGGTAAAAAAGACTATAAGTGAATTTGTGCTCTGCAAATGACAGCTGTATACAAGTCCAGAGTATTTATCTCACAATATTTTCCTGCCTGATTTCCGCTGAGGTCCAAGTATATGTTTAAAAATCTGTGTGGGAGACATGCTGACACTGAGGCAGGCAAAAGCCCTGCAGGCTCTTCACCCGATTGCAGGGCTGCGCTACCTCCTGCTGCGTCTCTGCACACCCTGTTTCCTCATCTTCCCTTCCCAACCTGACACTCACTTCTCTGAAATGTGGCAATCGGTGAGTCCCCAGTAAATCATGTACTTTACTGCTAGAAAAATCCAGCGTGTCTATCTGCTGGAAAACATACTTCTGTGACAAAAGAAAAAACTGTATCAAGTTTCTAATCCCAACAAAGCCCTCTTAGTTTCTTGATTGGAGTTCACTTAGCACAGTGTCACATTATCATTCTTCTTTCCTGATATCATACTACTGAGGGGCTGGACAAATAATTACGTAAAAATAACCCTCTGTCAGAGGCACGGGATTAGCCTCTCCGTCCTTGCACAGAAAGTGATTAAAGGAACTATTTCCCATAGAGATAAATGCCAAATAGTAACCATTTCAGCAGATCTTATCTACAAAACAAACACACAACCTGAGGAAGCCCCCAAACCCCAGAATGAAAACAAATATCTGAATTACCTGAAATAATATCAGAACAGTTTAGTTTCCTTCCACACCAAACCTTACAGACATAGAATAAGAAATAATGTTGTTACCACTTTGAAAACAAGTCATGGAGAAATTTCTCCGTGCAATTAGCAGACAAGGATAGATAACTCTGTAATTCATCAAGTGAAAATCTGTCACCCTTTGTAGAGTCAGCACAGCAGCTTTATAAAAAAAGAGCAGCTCTGAGGACGGAAAAGAAATCAGTGCTCTGGGAGCAGGGTCAGCTGGCACGTGTGAGCACACACAGGAACGATTCCTGGACATTAGTTAAAGATCGATGGACATTAATGCCTCCATTTTCCCATCTTTCTGATGTTTCTAAAGAAGAGTCTACCTTCAGGACCCTGTGAACAGGGTCCCTCATCCTAGGTGTTTTGCAAAGGCTACTTAGGTTCTTTCCCTTCTCTACATATGCTCTATATTTCTAGGTAGTATATGATTGCACGTGTTGTAAACCAGAGCAATAAAATATTACTGTTTGGAGAGAAACCTGTCCATAAAACAGAGAACTAAACTCCCTCTCTTGAGGAAAATCAGTGCTAACCAATGTGTAGCTTCTTATCAACATATAAAAGGGAAGGCTCATCCCGGCTTATACCCATCCTCCTCTCACTGGGAAAAGAGCTTGGTGAATACCTAATAAGAAATTCTCAGGCAACTTTACTGTATTGTTTTTGAATTCCCTATCACTACGACCAACAGCAAGCCAGTCAAGTTTTTGCAAGACAAGCTTTGATTTTTTTTTCCCCTCCCTCCTATTACAAATAAAAAGTTCACTAATGTCTCAGCAAAGCTCTTGCTGGGAAAGCAAGCCCAAGGGCTGCCACCCTGCTGCTGGGGGAGCCCCAGCACAACTGCTTCCTCCCTACATCCCCAAAATCCCAAGAGCAACTAGAAAAGACTTGGGGGATGCCTCTGCTTTGCCCTCTCCAAACGGGTGAATGGTGCCTGGGGAACAGTCAGGACGGTTGTTGGGGTACAGCCGTTGCACCAGTGCTGCCAACCACCACCAAGTCCTTCAGGACATGTGCCCTTATGTGGCACCATGGTCAATGGGCCCTGTGGTGCAGAAGCATATGGAGGAGGCACTTTATTAAAAAAAAAAAAAAAAAAATTAAAAATCAAGCTTGCACTGTGTTTAAGGTATTTAGATCACTGATGGGTCTGAGGAACTACACAAACCAATATCCAGTAGTAATAGATGCTTACAAAACACAGAGTAGGAAGGATGGTCCTTGCCAAAGAGGCTTTTAAGTGAAGACAACTTCCTTCCTTCTCCTCTTCATTTTTTATTTTCCTGTTTTATTTTCCAAAAGTGCTTTTTAACAGTGTTTTCAAGGGATTCAAGCAGACACCAAAAAGCAAAAATAAACCATGGGAACTTAATTTTACTACCTTCACTTTATTTGAGCAGAGAAAGCTTGAGGAAATGAGATGATCAGGGATGACATTTCCTGAGGAGGCAAAAAACTAGATCCCAGTTTCTGACAAAGCCTGGGGAGCTACTCTGAGTTACATCAATGTCAAGCTCTAGGTATTCTATTCATGCATATCATTTCCAGAAAGCTGAGCAGTGTTATAAGCTACACACAAAACTAAGCATATCGTTTTAGTTTCTCCACCTGACGGAGTTCACGCATTTTCTTGGAACAGTACCAGGTGACTTGGGATCCCAAATTTGTTGTGGGACAGTGAAAAGTTTTACCGAGCAGGTACACCGTGTCTTTTATTAGTCAGGGCATGATTAACAGAATATAAATTGGATGCTATTACCTTTGGACGTATAACATTTCTTTAATGAACCAAATGTTATGCTTTGATGTGATCTACAAAGCCCCATGCAAGACTCCTGCTGGGCACTTGCTCTTTAAATGACAGCAACAGTTGAACACTTTAACTTGTGAATAATTTAGGAGTCCATTAAATATTAAATAGATTTCCAGATACATGAAAAAGCCTTCTGCTTATTGCAAAAAGGAATCTGATAATTGTTATTTAGAGATGTTAAGCCTTTTGTGTCTATATTTTATGCTTAGTGATTCCTGACTGTTAAGATTTATTCTAAAAGCAAAGGTGGTTCATGAGACATCAAGAAAAGATACTGTTCTTACCCATCACGGTTAATAATTTCTACTTATCGTCTCTGTTTATAGGGACAAGGACAATGACAGCTTTGGAAAAGACGCGCTGCCAGCCAGTCCAGCAGCAGATCTCTCGCTGCCAAAGACTGGCTGCTTTAATTGATCGAAAGCTTTCAGATCCTAATTGTCATTAGTGTTGCTAGAACAACAACTCCAGCGGCAATTTACAGGGAGCGGAGGTGGAGAAACTCCTGGAAAGATGGCTCTAATGAGCCAGCATCCTTTTTGTCTCTCCAAACATATTCAGGTGTCAGTACGTCAGCTCTTGTCCTGATGTTTTGCCTAACACAGGGAACAAGTTCAAAATTTAAACCTATTTGCTTTTGGGGGTTCATTGCTTAATTTCAATCTAAAGAAACGGGGCAAGTCATGAAAATGAGCAACAATGGCTCTATAAAATTCATACATGAGATGATTAATTTTGAAATTTCTTGGTGTGGGGAAAAAACCAGAGTTATGTGTCTTTCTGTAAAGCTAATATGCACTTAGTTTTGGATTTTGTTCGATTTGGGAGAAGCAAGGAAAGCAGGCAATGGTAAAGCAAAGCAGGGATATTTCAGTTTCCCTGTTATCAGCCAAAACCAGATAGTTATTCTTCCCCAAGCCTACAGAATGATAAATGTTCAGGAAAAGCACTCGAGATTGATGACTTAATCAAAACTGCCTGGCATACAAAATCCATTGGGGAAGAATAGCAAGGAACTTGGTAACAAATCTGAAGGACGCAACAGAGTATCCCACTTTGCTGTGTGCTTATTTCTACTATCCTCACAGCAATTTGGATGGTCTCATTTCTCCTGTAAATGTTCCCTTTTTCCATTCTCACTGCAACACTTGTTACCTGACCTGCCAAATAACTGATGGCTGGGGTTATTAGGTGAGACGACCTCACCGAAATGCTTCTTTTTGCCTCATTTTGCATATGAGTTTCTTACCCAGTTTAAACAAACAGAGATTTCAGAGTTTAAGTAACAAAGGCCGTTAGGATTCATAGATCATTGTGTCTACATGTTATCTGAGGTGATGGTACTGAAAACCTCTTACTTGCAGCATCACTGAACTCATTAGTGTTCTGGCCACCACTCAGTTAAATTTCAAATTAAATTCAGCACTGATTTATCTTTAGAAACTGGATGAAGCTGGTTTGTAGCACAAATTCTTTTTATCTAATGGCTTGCTGCTTTACTTCAGAAGAATGGTCCATTTCCTCGGCTTCAATCCATTTGATTACTCATATTGTAACCTTAACTGGAGGCAAGTTTAGTCAGATGAATACCTATATTCTTGTCAAGACAGCAATATCCAGCAGCTATGCCTACTGCAGGTTAAGTTTCTAACCACTTAATGACTTCACTGCCATGAAGAATAAAAGATGAGGTGAACTGGCTGGTTTTATAAGGACACACAAGATCTGATACTCTGGATTTTTCTGTCCTGTAGCTCACCACGTCCAGCCCCAATGCCAGTCAGCCACCGCGAGCCCCACAGCGGAGCTGAATGTAAAACTAGCCATGTTGCAGTGCCACATCCGTGCAACACCACCAGCTCTGCTCCTCCCCTGGGTCCTCTAG